TTCCTTATGAGGTGCTGACCGAGTGTTGTTACTTTGAAGCCGATCCATAATCAAAAATGGCCGCCAGCGGGGGACTTAGTTTAACATAGGACCCTATGGGAAATACATACAAATGTCTTTTTTTAGAGAACCACTGAATGGAATGAAACCAAACATTGCATGAATGTTTCTTATGAGGTGCTGACCGAGTGTTGTTACTTTGAAGCCGATCCATAATCCAAGATGGCTGCCAGCGGGGGACTTAGTTTAACATAGGACCCTATGGGAAATACATACAAATGTCTTCTTTTAGAGAACCACTGAATGGAATGAAACCAAACATGGTATGAATGTTCTTTATGAGGTGCTGACCGAGTGTTGTTACTTTGAAGCCGATCCATAATCCAAGATGGATGCCAGCGGGGGACTTAGTTTAACATGGGACCCTATGGGAAATACATACAAATGTCTTCTTTTAGAGAACCACTGAATGCAATGAAACCAAACATGGCATGAATGTTCCTTATGAGGTCTTGACTAAGTGTTGTTACTTTGAAGCCGATCCATCATCCAAGATGGCCGCCAAAGAGGGACTTAGTTTAACATAGGACCCTATGGGAAATACAAACAAATGTCTTCTTTTAGAGAACCACTGAATGCAATGAAACCAAACATGGCATGAGTGTTCCTTATGAGGTGCTGACCAAGTGTTGTTACTTTGAAGCTGATCCATCATCCAAGATGGCAGCCAGCGGGGGACTTAGTTTAACACAGGACCCTATAGGAAATACATACAAATGTCTTCTTTTAGAGAACCATTGAATGCAATGAAACCAAACATTGCATGAATGTTCCTTATGAGGTGCTGACCAAATGTTGTTACTTTGAAGCTGATCCATCATCCAAGATGGCAGCCAGCGGGGGACTTAGTTTAACATAGGACCCTATGGGAAATACATACAAATGTCTTCTTTTAGAGAACCACTGAATGCAATGAAACCAAACATGGCATGAATGTTCCTTATGAGGTGCTGACCAAGTGTTGTTACTATGAAGCCGATCCATAATCTAAGATGGCCGCCAGCGGAGGACTTAGTTTAACATAGGACCCTATGAGAAATACGTACAAATGTTTTCTTTTAGAGAACCATTGAATGGAATGAAACCAAACATGGCATGCATGTTCCTTTTGAGGTGCTGACCAAGTGTTGTTACTTTGAAGCTGATCCTTCATCCATGATGGCTGCCAGATGGGGACAATGTTTAACAAAGGACCCTATGGATGATACATACAAATGTCTTCTTTTAGAGAACCACATACTGAATGGATTGAAACCAAACATGGCATGAATGTTCCTTATGAGGTGCTGACTAAGTTTTGTTACTTTGAAGCTGATCCTTCATCCATGATGGCCGCCAATAGGGGGACTTCCTTTAACATAAGACCCTATGGGAAATACATACAAATGCTTCTTCTAGAGGTGCACTGAATGGAATGAAACCAAAACATGGCATAAATGTTTCTTATGAGGTGCTGATTAAGTGTTGCTACTTTGTTGCCGATTTACTGTTCAAGATGGCCACCAGGATTTTTTATTAAATTACAGGACCAATATTAAACCAAATTTGGCCTCACTCATTATTAGGGTATCTGTTATGATTTTAATCTATTTTTACATGATTTCCAAAACCAAAGTAGAATCAGGTGAGCGACACAGGCTCTTGAGAGCCTCTAGTTTGTTTTTAGGGATGTATAAATACACTGCCACGTCCGGTCTGTATTTTTTGTTAGAGATGTTTTCTGCTTTGTATCGATCTGTTGATTTAAGCCCTTTTTAACTGAATTTTATAGTTTGTTCTTATGTTGTACTGTTAAACCACTGTCCCAGGTAAGGAGACGGTTGGCTCCTTCAAACATGTTTAACCCTGCCACATTTTATATGTGCCTGTCTCAAGTCAGGAGCCTGTAGTTCAGTGGTTGTCGTTGGTTCATGTCTGGCATAATTGTCTTTCGTAAATTGTTTTGTTATAAAGTAGGCTGTTAGTTTTCTTAATTGAATTGCTTCATATTTTTCATGTCGGGGCATTTTATAACCGACAATACTTGCTTATATCCACTTCATTTGATAGATGTCTCATTGGCAATCATACAACATCTCCTTATTTTTAAATATATCAAAACATGGCTGCTAAAAAAATGGCTGTTACGTTGAGTCGGTAAAACTTTAACAAGATTAAATAATCTGAAGAACAAATATTTCAGATTAGTTTGAAGGCGTATGCGTATTGTGCAGTTTGTGTTTTGAAACAGCTGTCAATAACAACGTGTAAATTAAGCTGGTTTTCTATAATTGTTAGGAAGAGACGCATTAAAGTTTATGCCTTTTCCTTACGTCACAAACATTGGTTATACAAATGGAAGTGTAAATCAGGTGATAATGATTTTAATTGTACAAAACAAATTTTGCAATGTATATTATATCAACATTATTATCTGAGGATGGTCATGTTGAAAGGAGATAATGAAGTGATTATGCTGAATATTAGAATAATTACATCAATGGCATACATTGTATAATCATACATGTATAATAGTCATTCGATGCAACAAAGTACTTTCTTGTAATTGTTTTCTTTTCTTATTTCGATTTTTTAAAACTAGAAGATATCGCATAAAACAAAAGACTTGGATGTTGTCGGGTCAGGTTTGGGAATATTTGTCAGATGTTCGGACTCCTTGTTTTTTTTTCCTACGATACAGGGTAAAATATTTTGCCTCATATCACCCACTTTCCTTTTCATAGAAGACTTCAATAGCTCGTAAAAAGGTCATTTCAAAAATTTAAGCAGATTTTAGATTTTTTTCTTACGATTTCAGACCCAAATAAAGCTAATGCTAAATATGAGGTAAAAGTCCGAGTCATCCTTTCCCGCCATTTTTTTTTAAATCAAATATCTCAAAAGGAGTTCCATAACCTATCAATATTTTTAGCTGATTTTGTTCTTTAACTAATGCTCTTCTGACTTATAGTATCAATTTTAAATTCAAGATTTTTTTTTAATTTCTCCTAACTACATCCTGAACACTGAACAAAATGACTTTATTAACGATTTTGGGGTTATACCAGAGCAATGGCGGTGTTTATGTATTTTTGTAATCATATTTCTATTGTGTTTTTCGTCCGTGGTCTTCAGCTAGAGAAGCATTAATTACTGGTCTGAAGGTCAAGTAAAATGTTTATTTAACCTGCAAATATTCATACAAGGTTGTCTACAGTAATTTCACCCAATGGAACTATTCAGAATTTGACATTTATTCTGCACATATATAATAAATAGTTAAGTTGATTATTCTAGACAGCGATAACATTTGGATCATTTAACCACTATAATATTTAATCATCATGCATGGTAATTAAATTTGTAACTACTGTCTTATTCCCAAGAGATTCAATAACAATACAGAACCTAAAAGTTTCGGGTTATTTTAATCCTAACGAATAATTGTCATTTAAGATTTTTTATAAGTTTTATCGATTTTTCCAAGTTTACTGAATAGTTATTTAAATAAATGACATTGAATAATGTAGTAAATATGTCGAACAGTCAATTGATAGTCACGGAATATCTCCCAGAATGTAAATATTCCAATATAACAATAAATTATTGCAGGATTTGATATCAGGCAGGACATAAAATAATCCATTCAAGATTTTTAACTTTGATACTGTAAGTTGCATTGTATTCCTTTGAACTTTAAGTTAAAATTTTGAGTGACATCTCATTGATTGTCTTGAGATTTTTATGACAGTTTTTATGGTTTATCACCATCGAAGGAAACTATTTATTTCTTTGGATATCGGTTCTCTCTTACATGATCAAGAAAACAAATGAACGATTATTTAAGGAACTACAAAATAGAAGATATGCATATTGAAAGATTTTAAATGTTGCCTTTTACAAACAGCTGCCTAGCGATATATGTAGAACTAATTCATTAAAAAGGGTTCTGTTCCATGAAGACAGAAAGTCTGTGCGATAGAAACATTAGTTACGGTAAGCGCCACAATGCAGTGACAATTTGGTTGCTATAACTGCAATTACGCGCGTAAACGGGCTATAATAAACGGAAAAACAAACAAACAAAAATAGCTGCTCCGCATTTACATTGCAGAACGCTACAAAACGCGTTTTGATAACTTATTTGGTAAAAAGATCATATTATACAGCTTAATAATTATCCAAAAAGTCTTTTAAAAGTTTAAAAGTAACCTATAGTCGTTAACTTCTGTATGTCATTTGGTCTCTGATAAAGAGTTGTCTCATTGGCAATCTTACATATCACACTGTTAAAATGCCTATTACTTAAACCATTTTACGTTTTTTTTATTGTTTTGACCTTAAAACTCATTTGATTCGAACACCATTCGAGTCCTATTAAAAAATACAATTAAGACCTGTATCTTTGATGACCGCTTATAGTTCATATCTGATAATATATGCTTTTTCAACCAAGCTACAGTCATGTTCATTCAATCTCATGCAGGGATACATGTATGTCTATTTTTGTTGTTTTTTGGTTACTTTCTATTGCCGTACACCCCAGGGCTGATATGCATAAAACTACTTAAGTTAAGATTTGTTCCGAACGGACGGATTTTTCTACATTTCCTACGATAGATTAGTACTACGATTGGATATCTTAACTTAAGTGGTTTTATGCATATCAGCCCAGATCTTTACAAAAAAAATAACCCTTGATTAGTTAACATATCGAATTATCCATTCATCAGCTGAATATAATTTTACAGTGAATTCAACTTTGCAAAATAAGGTATAATGCTTATAATGAGATATATTCTTCTGAAAAACCAATATACCACGAACAGTGATTTAATCACAATGTAACGGACAATCCAATAGGCAGATTCTATGCTAATGTAGCATCTTCGATTTTCCACCTAGTTTGTACAATAAGTAATCGGCCTATAAGTACCAAATTCAAGCCAATCATTTCAATCTGAACGGAGCGATTTGTGTCTATTCGAGTGGCTTTGTGTTATCCTAACGCGCCATCAGTTTTAATCAGACCAATTTTGTCGGTGGTGGTACTAGTATATATTAGGCATAATGTACAAAACGGACTAAAATGAGTAATTAACTAATATTCTGTTTAAGTGATTGGAATGATATTAATAATAGAAATGATTAATTGAGATAAGTATAATCAACTATCACGACTTTGATAATAGAACAAAGTATTGGACATGGCATTATGGCTTGATAGTTAAGCATTGTTATTCTGAAAAGAAACAACATATTTTAACAATGTCGGTCAGACGACGTCAAAATTTACGCAGAGAACGTTTAAAAAACTTACGCCATGGAAGCACAATAGAGGAATTATCCTTAGAAGTAGAGGATATTGATGTCCAGGTACAGTCATACTGCTTTTCTCTTTCTTTTTTGAAGTGCTTATAGATGTTCGGGTATTTAGTCAACAAGTTGTTTCCTTCTTTTTTGCAGAACGTGTGTGGGTATTGTTTTAAAATATATTTCGTCTAAAACGCACATTGTATTTTATTTTTGAAAGCAACAACTATTCCGCACTGTAAAACCAAACATGAACAAAATAATTTAATTAACCTGTTTGAACCGATTCTTTTTATAAGTATCATAAAATTGGCAATCATTTGATAATTTCTGAGTTTCTCTCACCAGATGTGTCATAAATTCTAATCTTATCCGCTTTTTCCTAATCGAGATCACTCTGATGATTATTAACATAGAGTACTTTTGTTTGAATTAAAAATGGCATAAAATGTCAGTAATAAAAAATAGCATGTATGAAAACGAAGTGTTGGAGGGACAAAGTTGGTGACATGGCGAAAGTCAATTTCCAAGTTGAGTTAAAACACTCCTCGAAAACCATCAAATACCGGCGCCAAGAAGATATAAATTCACTTGCAATGCTATAATTGTTTTGCGGATTTTTAAACTTAAAAATATATAATAGTTATGTGTTGTCAATTATTAAAAAACAACCGGAACTCCATTCGTTTCACTGAGGTTTGTTGTTTTTGAGGAACTTTAGTCATTTTGTGAAATGATTCGCATGATAAACGATCTTACGAGAACAGAGCCATACACTATTTTTATTTTATAACATTTGTTAAATAAATAGAGAAATATAATGGAAAGCTGAGATTTTAAGACATTAAAAAAACTAATTTCTACAAAGTTAACCCATAATTTTCCATTTTTACGTGAAAGTGTGTCCAAATTATTTAATTAAGCTCTTTTAACAGTACGCCACAAGTCTATAGATTAGGAAAGGATAATAATAAACACAATTAGAAATCTGGAAATTTTAAAATTGTTATTCCTTTTTTTAAATTTGATGAATTACGTCCTTCAAATATCTGGTTTTAGGGACATTAAGTCTCGTTGTGATGTATTAAGGAAATCAACCTTTGGGGAAAACTTTTCGAAGGATTATTTGCACTGTCTTTACGATACATTCAAAACGTTCTAAACTAATTTTAAAATTGCATAATATCTTAATAGAAATAAACAACAACATAATTCGTTTAATATATACTCATTTAGTGTGCAACACGTATTCATCAATCACTTGTCGATGAATGAATGTAAGAAAATAAAATATGGAAACATTTATTTAAAGAAAACTTAAAAACACAAAATCATAGCATAGCCATTCCTGCACTCTGACAAAAAAGAAGGTTCATCAATCAATATACATTATACGAATCAACATTGTTGACACTGATTCTAAAATTCCTTTCTTTTTTGTATATAAACCATTAAAAGTGTTGAATGTATTATCGAACAATTGTCCAGTCTTCGATTATTGTGCTTCATGCTTTTAGCTCAATGTAAATAATATAATATATATGATTTCCCTATAGTGCTGTTATAGTTTCTGTGTCTCTTCGAGTATACGGTTATCTTGTCAATTATATGTATGTGTCTATGACTGGTGACTGATATTATAACATCTCAAAAACATATATATATATATATATATATATATATATATATATATCCAACGCAATCATAGGTTTGAACGTTGTTTTCAATTTAGACTTGTTTATATTTTTTCGTTTGGGCTTGTATTATATTTGCCTTCGGGTTTATATGATCCGTTCATCCTATTTCGACTCTTCAAAATTCAAGAGTCAATCCCAAATTGAGGTAAATTATATGGCCTTCCAAATACCGTTTCGATTCCTAACATCACTGAAGAGACATTAATTGTCGAAATCCGGATATGGTGTACAAATTTTTGCACCTCATGTTTGCGGTATACCATCTTTTCCGCAAGTTTTTTGTTTTTTCTATTTAGTATTAGATTAAAAATTAAGGTCCATTTTGTTACATCTGTGATCCGTTTATTTGGCAATCGCCATGGCAGTCAGCAGGGTTTAAGAACATCCGTTGTTCGACCTGCTAGTCAAATGCGTTTTGTTAAAATATACTTTTTCACTTTTTGGTCTTTTGGAAAATGTTGTTTGTGCTGTATTTAGACCCCTCTACCAAGAAATTTGTTTTGCATGCACACGTATAAAAATTGCGGTTTTTATCCAACGCAATCATAGGTTTGAACGTTGTTTTCAATTTAGACTTGTATATATATATATATATATTTTAAATATGGGTGTGTGTGCCTGTTAGAAATACTATACACAAAGAAATAAAGTATGAACCCTTTTAAAGAGGGGTCAGGAAAAATAAAATAAATTAGTGAAATATTATAGATTAAGTTGAATGACTAACAAGATGTGTGGTCTACGTTAAGGGACATTATATAAATAACACATCGCTGAGAAGGTGATAGAGCAGATTGTTACCCCGAGAAAACATTGTCAACTGAGGCGAAGCCAAGGTTGACAATGTCTTTTCGAGGGGTAACAATCTGCTCTATAACCCTCTCAGATATGTGTTATTTAATTTATTTTACTGAATGTTCTGTTATTACTGTCTATTAAATTTCAAATCCGAAGTAATAAACTATGTCGTCTTGTACATAACAATCATCCGTATTTATTAAAGAGCACACTTGATCAAGCGTCTCCGTGAAGGGTAATAGAGTATTTGCCATGGGATAGAGTAAATTGTCTCCCTCGTATTAACCAATTAAAATCTGGCAGTTTAACATGAAGTATAATAATAAGCTTTATTTTCTTAATATGAACCTTCAAAAATGTTGATGAACGAACGTAGTTTCGTTAGACAGCTCATGAAAAGCATAAAAGTTTAACAAGCAGCAAAATGCACTTCAATGAAACACTTATGAACCACATCAACAAACGACAACCACTGAAGATTAGGTTCCTGACTTAGGACAGGTGCAAACGAATGCAGCGGGTTTAAACGTTTTAATAGGCGCAAACCTTCACCCTACCTGAAACAATAGTGTATCATCACAACATAGAAAGACACACTATAAAATATGTCTTTTTGTTTTGCTCACACATTGTTGTTAACATACTGAAATAATATGCGACTGTCATACAAGTGAGAGGTTTAGCTAGTTATAAAACCAGGTTTAATCCACCATTTTCTACAGAAGGAAATGCCTGTACCAAGTCAGGAATATGACAGTTGTTTTCCATTCGTTTGATGTGTTTGAACTTTTGATTTTGCCATTTGATAATGGACTTTCCGTTTTGAATTTTCCTTGGAGTTCGGTATTTTTGTTATTTTACTTTTTTTTTACATGAAAACTTTGATAAACTATATCCAGCATATGATATTTGGCTAGACCAAACTATGATTAGATTTGACAAAGGATATTACAAAACCACGAAAGGAAGCTTTGAACACGGAAAAACTATTATACTGAGAGTATACGACTTCTGTTTGAAAGTAAGGGATGTTGGTCGGATGTACATAAGACAACAATTGTATTGGAAAACAATATACATCAAAGTACTGGTACTTTTATTGTTGTTCAACATCTTGACAAAGGAACCTTTATGTTATAAAAAGACATAGTTATGTCACGCATTAAAACAGTTTTCCATTCTTATTCTTGAAAATAATCGGTCATGGTTGAAGTATACTAAAAGACATCTATATGTACTGTTAAAATGTTTGTGTATTTTTAATAACACATTGCCCCTATATAATATTATTATACTTCATGTCAAAATGCTAGATTTTGATTGGTTAATACGAGGGAGACAATTTACTGTGTATCATGCATTTCTTCCACAATTACCGTCTGCAACACATATTGAGATTATCGATCAAAATCAAAGAGTATCGTTTAGCCATCGCTAGGGTCTTTTGAATTATCATCTCCAGCTACTTATCCTTAGAGGTTTCCCAGAAAATGTCGTGACGAAGAATATAAATGAAAGCAAGGACGAATGTTCCTTTGATATGTGATAATTATCCTTCATAAACATTAAATTGTTACAGTATATTCATGACTTTGGGCACAGTGTCAGTCACTTTGCAAATGAAAAAGAGAAGTTGAAATTAAAGAAACCAATGGGAAAGGGGGGGGTGGGGGGGGGGGGGTGGGGGGCAATTAAAGAAATCAATGGGAAGGGGGGATGTGAGATGAAGTATGACAACACTTTTGTCCAATGAAAAAAGTCGAACACAAAAAATAACAGTCCACAAAACAAATAAAATCAAGCCCTCCTCTTGTATGGCGGTTATTTTAGATTCCAACTAAGAGTATAAAAAGATGATGTGGTGTGATTGCCAGCAGTAAACTATCTACCAAAAAACAAACCGATAAGGATGTGAACAACCATCAACCAAAGATAAAACCAACATGGGTGGGAACAACGGTTGACTCTCTTTAGTATCGGTTATATTGTTGTAAAAGAACGTTAAAGTACATGAAAAGCTTTATAACCAAAAGTGACATAAAAAGAATAGCCAAATGCATCTGATGTCTACTTTGTCTAAGGGAGTAGGAACCTTACATATTAACTACCAAAGCAAATTATCTCAGTGTTTCTCATATTGCATTACATTTATTTATATGATGCAAACCCAATTCTGGCAAAATATAATGTAATTAAATTTCTTTCCAAGGAATTATATTTTATAGACTCATCGATAAGACATTCTATTTCTATAAAGCAATTTTGAACTTGTTTACGGGATTGGTTCGATGATATTAATTACAAAATAATAGACGGTTTCCTTAAGTTTGTTTCCTCTCCTGATTGTAACATGCAATACATCAATGTAAAGTATCCTCATGTGGCAATGCTTGTCATTTAAAAATAATTTCCGTTAAAAAAAAAGAGGAAAATTATAAGAAAAAGCATCCAATCAAGTCTCTTAGTGCACATATACAGTAAAGGCGTCACTAGTTTATTTTTCTTATTGTCAAATGATTTGAATGTATGTGATATCAATGACGCCACATCTCACGATAACTGTATTAA